ATAAAGAACAGTATCTAAATATTCATTTTCTAAAATTAATAATTCAAAAATTGCTAGGTGTAGTGAGTGATGCATGCCTTTAATCCCAGTACTCAGGAGGCAGAGGCAGAAGGATCTTTGTGAGTTTGGGGCCAGCCTGGTTTACACAGTGAGTTCTAGGACATTCAGAACTACACAGTGAGACCCTGTCTCAAAAGCAGAAAAAAAAAATCAAGTTTTCCTAATAGTTTTCTAAAGGCCTGTTTTATAGATTACACTATAATTAAAAACCATACAAATGAGAACTTACTTGTTCCTCCAAGTGATCTAAATCCTTCTCGAATATTTTGTGTAAACATAGGAATAATAGGCTAAAGAAAAGAATTTGAATTAAAAAGTAAATAAATAAATCCACTTAAGGTCTCTTTTGAAATACTAAGGCAACTTTTTTGAAGACACATTTGAAATCCTAAAAATAGATTTTCAAACCAAAGGCATAACTAAGGTGGCAAGATTTATCAGACTAAATTTGACTCCATCATTTATGAAAATATAAATTGGAAAGACTATCCTCTAATTGCAACATGCAATACTTTATCTACTGATTTTCCTTACATACAAACCCTTGAAACTCAAGAGGATTATAATACTCACTGATTTCATTTAAAAAAAAAATGAATGTGGTAAATTAGTTTTACTCATTCCTAAATATGCTCATTAAAGAAGTTACAAGATGAAGACACTTTGAAGGCTGTGATGGGTAATGATTACGGCCCCCATAGGCTCATAGGAACTTGAATTCTTGTTCCTAGGGGTGGAACTGCTTTGGAAGGATTAGGAGGTGTGGCCTTGTTGGAGGACGTGTGTCACTGGGGGTGGACTTGGAGGTTTCAAAAGCCCAAGCCAATCAGTGAGCTCTCTCTGATTCCAGCTTATGGATCAGATATGAATTCTCAGCTCCTTTTCCAGGCCTATCTGCCTGCTGCCATGCTCCCTGACCTGATGGTCATGGACTCTAACCCTCAGCAATCAAGAGCTCCAAATTAAATGTTTTCTTATATAAGTCACCTTCATCATGGCATTTGGTCACAGAAACAGAAAAGTAACTAAGACAAGGGGAAAGTTTATATCAATTTAAATGATAGGTTTCAGTAAGATGTTCTCATGGAATTAGTAACACATCTTTGTGAACCCACTAAATCTAAAATGTTCATTATCAACAAAAATTATGTGTAAGAATTTTAAAAAGAGTATAAATTGAAGAATTTTAGATAACAAGTTTATAGGATAGTCCATGAACACCAAGTGATATTTAATAGTGGAAATATTAGGTCAATGTCATAAAGTAATATCATAATATGGGAAGGTCATGTTATTGCAAACAGTAAAATATATCAAAATTGAATAAAATACTTTCATATATAAACAGATACACTGAACTAAATGTTTTAGAATTGATAAAACTATATGTGTGTGTATGTGTGTGTGTGTGTGTGTATGTGCGTACCCGCATGTATGTGTACATGTGTTCATGAAGTTCCACTTTATCTGCAGAACTAGACACCTTTTAAGACAAAGATAATGATATTCTAAGTCTTTTTCACTCACTTCCTGGGCAGAAGAAAACACAAGGATAAACTTCACACAACTTGTCCTCACATTGAACTAGCTGATCACCTGCTGTCCCCTCTCACCAGAGGTAAGACATCTAACATATTTCAGGGACACCTAATACATGTTTTGTTCACTGCTGTATCCCTCGTACTTAGAAAAGCACCTGGAATAGATGAGACAAAAGGAAGTTATGGATGAACTAAAGAAGGAATGGGTAAATACAGAGAGATGACGCTCCTAATGACTGTGCTCTACAAACACAGAGGTCAGAGACAGGCGGCAGCCATGTCCACACTAGAACAAGAAGCCACAGCTGTCAAACTGTGAAATGATGAGACTCATTCATGGAACCACTACATAGAGATGATGATGGACACAGAATTCTTTTGTAAAACAAAATCCACTACTATCTAAGATTACAAGTTTCGTACAATGAAATGGCTGAAATACTAATGTTTTAAAAGTTACATTCCCAGAATTGAAAACTTAGAACGCACAGGACAAACAGAAAACCTTTCCACTCACAGACAGTTTTTCTCCCTTGGTTGGAGCTGGTGACTGTGTCTACAAACAGGCATGGTCCCAAAAGTCTGTATTATAGTGTGCTTCATGAGGATGATTCAAGTTCAACACCATCCCTTACATAGCTAGACTTCTGGAGAAGAATACTGTAGAAGCACATCATAGAAGACAACTTGCCTTAGCTGGCTGTCCTACAGTTTTAAGAGCATCAAGCTTCAATCCTTGAATACGCAGCACTAGCTTACTACAAACTAATTGCGTACAGTCCTTTAACACTTTCCTTGTACGTATCTGTATACAAGACAGCTGCATAAACAACCGAAAATTTACTATTTCTGTCCCCACATTGGTCTCTATGTAGGTACACAAGTGTACAGATTTGTAAAGCTATTCTTGGGACATCAGTTTAGTATGGTTACAGTCCTTACTACTAAAAACAAAGGAAACCCTAAACAAGTTGATCATCAAATCTAAGCCTGACTTTCTTCATGTGAAGAGTGGGGAAAGTATAATTATCTTTATCTCAAAAGTTTTTATAGATAAAATGAAATGTCACAAATAATTTTTAAGTACAATGTTCCTTTCTTTTACATTTGTTATTTATTTTTAATTAATTGAACTAATTTTTCCCCAACCTAGATTTGAAACTACCTGAATACTTGCAGGAATTCACAAAATAAGAGTGGCATATGGTCC